GCAGGATGGGTTGCTTTGATGTGATCAGATAAATCAGAAGAGCCCAGGTACACTAGCTCTCTCCAGAGCTGTATTTCACTGCGGGATGCATCCTCCCAGGGCCGCCTGCTGTTCCAGCCATGAACTTGGGGGTTTCCAGCATTTCCCCAGAGGGAAGGTTTCACAACAGATTGAAGTTCAGCCTGAGGAAAGGTTTCCTGGTGTGCTGCCACATTTTGTTTTGCTCAACACCAGCCACCTCTGTCCAGCCACCTTTTTTGCCCCTTGGACATTTCACTCTTCCAATGTGGTCAGGCAACCCTCGTTGCCTCTTCCTACCATGGGCAAGCCCCTCTGCCCAAGGACTTCATCATTTTCCTTGCTTTACCCTACTTCTGTCCAGTTTGGCAGCAATTCTGAGCTCCTGAGCTGCCCAGAAATACAAGGCTGATATTTTCAAAGCTGTCAAGGTTGATATTTTCAAAGCTGTCTTCAGGAATTGGGTGCCTCATTTCTTCTTCTCTCTTCTTCTTTTTTTTTTTCTTTTTCTTTCCTGTAGGCATTAAAATCTCCAAGACAACTCTGGAACCCACAGCCTATGGATTTAGAGGATAGAGACATGAGTGAAGGAAGGGGACACTGTTGCTGTAGGCTCAGATCAGCCCTTGGGGTGGCTGTGCTATTCTGGCACACGAGGGATGTTCTCCAGTTCACACAGGGCTGCACTCAGATCCCAGCACTCCAGGGCATGAAAGCCAGAGAAAACAGGGCATTGCCATGCTGACATCACATGCCAGGTTCATATCACATGCCACGTTCATATCACATGCCATATTCATATCACACGCCATGTTCATATCAGCCCCTTCCCATTATCACACTGCATGTAGGACACTTTTTGCAGGTATTTTCTGGTAGTGAGGAGGGACAGAAAACACACACAAAAAAGTCTTTAACTGAAGAATTAAGTTTGCTTAAAGAGGTCGTGACAAATCACATTTCTCCCTACAAATCTCTGCTGAGCCAGGATCCTCCCTTGTGTAATTTCTGACTTCAATAGGCAAGGGCTGGTCACGAACCGCAATTAGAGCTGGCCAGGAAACAACGGGTTTGTCTCATGGCAACTTCTGAGGTTTCAAAATCTGTTTATGTTCTGCAGAGGAAGCAAAATCAAAACATTTCTAATATGAGATGGGAGTATGTCAAAATGTCCATTTTCTGTGCAGCGAGATCCTCGTTCCTCCGTGGCTCTCCCCCTGCTCTCCTCCCCAGGGCCGGGGCGTGGGGTCTGCGTGCAGCCGGGAGCAATCACGGGGTGGATACGCCTGGGTGCCAAAAGCCTCGATGCTCAAAGCAGCCCATGTGTTTTGATAAAAATAGATGAAGCTGAAAACACCGTGACCGCTCTCGCCCGAAACGTTGGGCTTGTTTGAGATCACGCTGACCTGGTAACGCACCGCGCCAGCACCCCGGTGGGGCAGAGGCCGACCTGAATGTACATGCTCCTCTTCTCTTCAGTACATCTGTCTAGAAACACCTTAAAAATGCGATTTTTTTTTTCTAAGGTCTAGCAAAGACTTTGAAAATATCTGCTCCGTGGGGATATTAAAGGCCCGATGGCATACTTGGCAGGAGTGAACGTCTGCCCAGGAATCACTGGCATTTCCTCTCCTGCCCCACGTGCTTGCTGACCGTCTGTGCCTCCGTTGCTCTCTGTCCCAGATCTGTGTCTCCACTGCTCCTCGTCCCAGAATGACTCAGTGCAGCTGAGTGTTCTGTGTGCAGCTCATAAAGCACTTTGCCATCCTTCCCTTGAAAGCTGCTAATCAGGTATAGCTGGATAGTTTAGTCCTAATGTCATTGTGATGATGAAGTGTCCTTTGACACTGAAAGAAGGCCTGGATGCAGAGGGACTTCTCAAAGCCCCTGTAGCCCAAAACACTGGGGTTTAGCTCATGGTTTTGACTGGCCTGTGCTCTCCCTCATCCCCAACTGCCTCAAAGCCATAGGAAGGCAGGCACTGCCATTGGTGTCCTGGTACACTGCTGCATCTCAACGCATCAGAAAGTGTGGGGAGACATCTGCTCTTCTGTCTCTCTCTTGTCCCTCTTCTACAAGTAGTCAATTGACTTCCATCTCCGCTGCATCACTACCATCCCCAGCATCCCACTGACAACAGTGATGCTTCTGCAGGAAAACACAATTCAAGATGACAAAACGGCAAGATCCCTGGCTCAGAGTGTGTCCGTACTGGCTGTTATTGCAGGACTAATGGCACTATGTGAGCCTAGGAAGAGAAAGGGTGAAGAATTTGAACAGGGGCATTAGCTTCCCAATAGCCTGAGTGCCTTCCTTAGCACATTTCAGACTTTAAAAGCCTTTCTCCAAATAGCTTTCTGCTGGTTTTATCACCAACAGAAAATAGCTTTATGGGAGGAAGGTGGATTTCTTCAGCATGCAGACACAGACGTGTCGATACTGCCCCGAGTTTGTCCTGTCCTCACTCTCTTCTCTATCAGCCTGGCTCTCACTGGGAGCAGCAGCTATTCCTGGGCACTGCCTTGGGCACTTCCCAAAACAGAGAGACAAGTCACACCACTGCAGGGTGGCAAACCAAGGAGCATGATCTGGGTGACTTTGAGTCATGAGTTAGAGGAGATGGTCGATAACGAAAGGATGAGAACAGGAAAACCTTTCCCTAAAGTGTATGTATCTGATGCTAAAGAGCCTGAAAAATTCTCAAAATGCTTCACTTCTTTGTTCCAGACAGCATGTTTCAATTATGTTAACCCTTAGAAAGATTCCTTCCAATAAGCTCAGGCTCATAATCTTTGCTTTGCCATTCTCTTTCAACAGCCAAACACTTATAGACAGCTCTACTATCACAGAGAGACAGGTCCCAGCTCTGCTCCTTCACATCCCCCAGAGTAAACCAATGTGTGCAGAACTGGAGACCACCCTCCCATAGCAACTGTGCACTGTCAACACGCCCCTTCCAGAGACAGGCTGAGAACAAGATCCAGTGAGTCCATGAAGGACTTGTTTCAGGAAAGAGCCAAAATGTCAGCCAAAATGTCAGCAAAATGTCCCTATGCAAGGGACGCAGAGGACACGCAGCGACCGCCAGGCGATGGGACCTGTTGGAACTGTGGGTAAGTCAACCAGAAATGTCGTGTTCATTTCATCTGGTAGCATTTGGTCCATTTATTTTAATTGCAAATAAATGCAAAGCGGAAAGAATGGGTTGTAGTTATTGTTGGAGCAGGGAAAACATTTTGTTCGAAGAGAGGGTTGGTCTTCAACCCTCTGAGTAAAACCCATTGCCCAAACAATAAAGCTTAAAAGATGAGCAAATTGCTGTTTATGGGCTGTTCCAGTACCATACCACTCAGGATGAAGCCAGGGCTGAATACATGCGCAAATTTGCTGCCTAACTCATTAGAAAAACAAGCCTGGTGTGGGATTTGAACCATTTTAAATCATTCACTCAGAGCAAAGAGGAAAGGCCAGAGCAGCAGCAGACAGAGCAATATTAGTGCGAGCATTATTGGTTCAGATCTGCAAACGCTGGTACAGGCAAAACACGTGTGAAGGCCACAGCATTAGTGTAGTTGGCTTGTGGCAGCCTGAAGAAATAACCCAGACAGTGCTACAAGCCAACCAGCCCACCTCAGGCTGGGGAAGGGGAGTGTTTCCCCACACACATTCCAGTTCCTGACCCGGCTCGGGCTGGGAGACATTTGCTCGTCACCCTTCTGTGTGCTGAGCAGCTGGACCAGATTTTGCAAACTCAGGCTGCTTTGGGAAATGCAATGCCTCGCTGGCATGAGGCTATCCAAGCTGGTGCCTATTATGTCGCTCATATTCAATGCTATGAAAACAGGCGTCCTGCACGGAGCGGCTGAGCAAACCTTGTTACACAGTAATTACACAATCAGGCTACAATCTAATTTCGGTGGCCGGGGTGTGGAGGGGAAGTTTTGGTTCCTAGATGCTTGTAGGGGTCTCTGCAATGAAATATGCATATAGACATATTTACAGCCACTGGCAATAAAAATTCTGAGCAATGCTAACTATATTGAGATTCTGCAATGTTGAGAGTGACTTACAAAAGCCCCATGCATCTGGTTAGGCTCAAAAAGACTCTTTGACTCAATAGTCAGACTTTCTGCAATTGAAATGCTCTGCAATTAACAGCCCCTTCTGGAACAGGGCAGGAAAGAGCTTTCAAAACCCATCAAGGTTTTGGGTTTGCTGGTTGGTGGTGGGTTTTTTTTAGATTTTTGCAGCTCTTCCCCTGAATTTGAAAGGAAGCCAAAGCTTTTCAAAGCTTCTCTAAAACAAACAAGCAAAACCAAATCCCCTCTCCACCCTCCTGGAGAGAGGAACACCCTGGATGAGCAAATCACCCTTTACTAGGATGCTTCCCTGGTGGTGAAAGTCCCACAGGCAGAGTGAGGATGGGAGTTTGGGTTTCTCGCCTCCCCATTTTTTCCCCATCCCTGGTTCTCTGCATGGTTTGAACTCAGTTGTTTGCTGTGATGAGGTACAAATATTGCCAAGAGGGGAATTTTATGGTTTTAGTCTACTGAGAAACAGCCTCTAAGAAAGTCCAGTCAGGATGGGTGTGTTCCTATGAAAATTTGACTTTCCCTGTATCCACAATTTTTATGAAACAGTGCTAGTGGTAGAGCTCCCTTTTATTGTTCCTTTCTATGGATACACAGTCTTGTGGCCCTGGGGGGCAGAAACTTGGAGAGTCAAAGCAGAGTCCAGGATTTCTTCTATCTGATGGGCCAAATTCTTTGCCAGTATAAATAGATTGAACTCTGCTCAGTGGGACCGTGGCCATTTATTCCAGCAGAGGACTTGGCCCGCAGTCACAGCCTGTTTCTTTTTTTGAAACCCAAGAGACATGACCCTCACCATGCAGAGGCAGGTCCAGGCTCCACCTGCCATCACTTTCTAGGCACGCAGGGCTATTTTGGTCATTCTATACTTCGCCCTGTGCCCAGGAGACACCCAGGGGGATGGGGGGACACAGAACAGTCTCAGGTTTGGAGAGCCCATGGACATCCCTGTTTTCTGCTGTGTCTCGGGGGAAGGACTGTCAGGTATTGCAGCCTGGATCAGCCCAGCTAAACCAGGAGGAGATTAGGAGTAAATTTGGATGAGATCTACACAAAGGGCTGTGGGCACATGTCCCAGCTTGGCTTTTCACATTGCAGATGTTCATGTAAATTCCCTAGAAAGGACTTTCTTGGACATTTCTCCTCCTGCACCACCTGCTCCGAATTGCTGCATGTTGCACATCCACATGCAGAAATTGCTGCTCACTGCTTCTTCTCCTCTCCTAGGGATGCAGATCTTTGGTCCCTTGGGAGAGGGACCCTGGGGAGTGAAAGCAAGGAGCTGTGCTGTGGCTTTGAGGGACTGAACACCTGTTTGGGGTGAACATCAGGGCTATGGGTTTGGGCTGGCATCACAGCTGAGCAGGTTTTCTCCCACTCGTGAAAATGCACTTTAAAAGTTAATTGATTTACACATCTGTTTTTTACAGGGCGTTTTAAAATAGGAACTCCTGACCCTAAAAAAACAAAAACCCCAACCAACACACAAAAGAATTAAATAAATAATTCAAGTGCTGCATCCACAAGCACAGCCATGTCTAACCCTTCAGCTTCTGCCTTTTAGGGTACATGAAAGCCAGCTGAAGGCTGCAGACCATGGCCAGTCATTGCCCCTTTGAACCAGCACTGCACATACTCACTTCCTGACGCCCATCTGTGGAAAATCACTTTTGCTGCTGCCTCTGCAAAGGTGTTGAGGGGAAGCTCACCTGGCCAGGGCTGCTGGCACACAGCACTCCCCCGTGCCCTCCTCAGCCTATTTTTAGGTTGGTTTTCTGGTAAAATAAAGCTCCTGCAATCATGCTGGCTGTGTTGATGTGTTCCTGGCTGCCTGTCCATCCACCCTCAAATGATTTATGCTTCCCCCAGCCAAGTTTGGTGATACTGATACTGATACTGACGCCAGGAGGATGAAGGCAGGCTCCTCTTCATCCCTTCACCCCCCAGCCCAGGGCAGCACTTGTGCTGGGTGGTGCTTCCTGTATCAGAGATGCAGCCTGGCAAGGGAAGACATTTCCACTCTCACCCTCCTCCTTTTTTCCCTTGTATGACATTTTTACTTCCTAAAAAATTGCATGTGCCCTCTGGACAAGTGATTAAATTAGAAGATCAACAATACATGAAGAAGGAGTGGGATCAATTCACAGAGAAGTGGCTGAAAGCAGTTTATTACATCTTTCATCTTTTTTTTTTTTTTTTTGCTGGGAGATCATTTGCCAAATCATTAAGAGAAAAATCATGTGAACAGGAGGACCAGCAACTAAAAATTGCCTTTCTCTTAACCAATTGATATGGTTACAATACTCTTTTCAATAAAATAATAATAATTAAAAAAAGAGAAATTAGCTAAGATTGCTTTTGAGGTCAGATTCTGGTCTCAGTTACCCCAATACCATAGCAATTCAAGCCATCATGTTCATATTTACCATCAGGACTCTTATGGCAGCTTGTCTGATGATAGATTATGTATGTGCACTCAGTGACTGCTTGCCAAGCCTTCAACCTTTTCCCTGCTTTCACCCCTAGATCAAAGACCCTAGATCAAAGAATATTGTCCATCAACACACAAGCAGCGTTACAGTGCTTCTTGCACCTTACATTGACACCCACTTTCACGTCTTTTTACACCAGCAGAAGTTCAGAAAGCAAGTAAGAATAAAGTAACTTTTCCAAAAAACCTTCCAAAATGAGAGGAGTTGCCAGGTTTTATCAAACAATAATTTCCAGGTGCAGTGAGCTGTCAAAGCACAAGATGTGCTGAACTGGGCTGGGAATAACACTGCTGAAATCACAAAAAAATACTGCAAATCCCAGAGAAAGAAACCCGTAGAGCTCCAGGAGGGGCTTTAGCCTTGTTGCCTTACCCTAATTTTCTCTTGCTCTGTTTTAACCTTATTTGAACTGCTTGTGACTGGCAAGAGCATTGTCTTCTTCTTGAATCTGTCTGGGTTCAGGATATACAAGCCAGAGAAAGATCCAAATCCTGTCAATTATCAGCAGACAGGAGATGATAATGCTCTTGAAATAGGTCCAACATTTAAAAACCCTTGCCATAAAAAGGCAAAAGCTTGTTCAGTCCTAGAAAACAGCAGTGCAAGACCTATCAGAGCTGGGTCACCATGTTTTCATTGAGAGCTGGATCTTCTGCTTTCACTCCATCTCTGCTATTCACATGACTCCACTTAGTAACTGTATCTGATTAGTCTTTGTGTGCAGCGTGCTATTATTTTTTGTTTGTTTGTTTGAATTAGTGCCTCCTGGTTTTTTTCCTCTGTTTCCCAAAATATAGCTGAATTATCTCCTTTACCCCAGAGCTTGGGTGCCTGGTTATTCCCTTTTTGCACAGTAAAGCCCAGCAGCCTCACTGTTGTCATTTTATGGCTGGGATGAGAGAAAACAAAACTCATTTTCATGCAAATCCCCACTGTCTATCAGACATCATAGTTGTCAAGCAGGTCATTAGAGGCCTACTGTGTAAAATGAAGATTACTAATTAGAGCTGAAGAAATAATTTGCAACAAATAATTTATCCAATGAATTTAGATTTTTTTTCTCCTTGTGGAGTCTCTGCAAGTAGGTTGTTACTTTGCCAGAGTTGGGCATTATTTGAAATGTTTTTAACTCATTATGGTCATGTTTGATTCAGATTTTTCATAATTACTTTTCTGAGCTAGGATAGTTAGTTTATGTGGATCGCAGAATTTGGGATTTACCTCCTGGCTCAGGTGCCAAAACGTGGCAAAATAATAAAGACCAGTATGTGCTTGAAAAGTACATTCCATGAACACTGATTACTGTGAACATCACAGCTCCAGAGTAGTCAGGAAATTTTCTGTTAAAATACATTTTTCTAGCAAAAAGCTACTGCAAAATCTATAATTTTATCCAGAGGAAATCTCGCATAAGGCAAAAAGAGCCTCCAGCCTGTGGTGTATTATGCAAGTCTTGTGAGTGAGTATCACCAAAAATAGGAAAAACAAGGAATTTATCCTGCCGCGAAAAGGGAAACAAATGTATCCAGCTGCTGACATTCCCAAAGGCCCTTACACACATCCATTGTGGAAGTAACTGGAAATTAAAACTTATGTGTCATGTTTCATAGTCACAGGAAACAGGATTTAGCAAAATCTGACCAGTTCACTACAATGGAAAATGTCAAAACATGGATTTTGGATAATTTTGATTGAACATTTATCTTCGACTCATGACACATTCTGTTACTTTGGCTCAAAATGTTCATGTGATTCAGCCTGAAGAGAGAAACTGAAAATTTCTATTGATTTTCATCCTGTTACAAAAGTCAGTTTTTGCAGACATTAATTTCGGTTGATGCACTCTATGAACACTCTAAGAAAGGTGGAGCAGGAAGAAAGGAGCAAAATTCACCCAGTGAATTAATTCCAGCATCCAAGCACATATTCACAGGAAGCCTTTTGCAATATTCACCACCTTTATGGATAACATGGGGCAAAGGGACACCTACGACTGATGCTACAAAATCCTGGATTGCAAAGAAGCAGCTTCATTTTCAGCCCTCTAATGAAGCATACGGAGTGCAGCCTTGGAGGGGGTTAAGGGAGTTTCAGTGAATTAAAGACAATTTGTACCAGACTTTTCAATCCCATCTGCTTCCTATCTGGAGCACTTGGTGTTCCCTGAGCTCACTCGCTCACCTTTGTGTTTGCAGGCAGGAGAGGCAGTGTTGGTGGTGAGGAAGGATGGGAGATGGAGAGATACTCAACAGGGAAGGGGGAGAAAACAGAAAGCAGTGAACACTCAAACCTTGCTCGTCTAGTCTAAAGATCTCCTAGGGCAAAGCAGGAAAGGCTGATAAAGCTGCCAAGAGGGGAAAGCTGGCTGGGGAGAAATGGTGAAGGTTTTTTGCTTTGTGAACCTTCCAAACCTTCCATGTCAAACCTCGGGGAAGTCAGGGCAGGATTGTGCTGGGACCTTCTACACCTTCCTTGACTATGGGCTTGGCTAAGAACAGCCAAGTCTTTGTTTGCTGTCACCAAAACCAAAGATGACTTAATGATAACTGCAGAGTAGAAGGGGAGATAGTCTGGGATAAAAGGAGGTCTGAGGTCCAGTAGCATTTATTCTGACTGAATAGCACAGGTGACAAGGAGACATGGTGACCTTGGGGAGGGAGAAAAAAGCAGTGTTAGGGACATTCCCAGCTCGGCCACCACTGCTGTGTGCAACCCTGGGTAAGCCTAATTTCTGTCTGTAAATTGGAAATAACCACTCTTCTTCAAGAGGTGCTTCAAGGTCCCTGGATAACACTTTTTACATAAGACCTAACTTACTATTTTGGTACACAGATGAAAAGCATGCATTGAAAGGAGCCCAGATCAACCCCCAAACCAAGGAAAATCTCATCCTAGACATGCCAGCCCACCTCTTCCACTCACTATCCCTCTCTCATATACAAAATGAGCGCAGCCCAAGCAGTATTTGACTCCACATCAGCCCAGTTGGACCCACAATGTCTGGGTGGGTTTGGAAAGAGGTGAAATGGGCTCGACCAGCTTTGCAACAGAGGCCATCCCCTCTAACCACCTCCCTGTAGGAATGAAGCCTCTCACAGAGCTGCATTGCCGCTGGGGAGACAACAGCAGCGAGGCTGCAAACACAGCACTTCTGTGTTTAAATACATTTTCCCCCAGAGTGAGCATAGGTTTAAAAAAAAAAAAAGAAAAAAGAAAAGAACATTGAAGAGAAAAACGACCTTATTCAAAGCTCAATGGGAATACTCCCCCTGAATTTCAATGAGCTTCAGCAGGCCCATGGGGCTGGATTAGCATAAGAGCTGGGAGGAAGATTTCCAGGTGCTCCCCACACCCAGGGTCAGGTTTTCCAAGAAGAATCAGCACTGATGTGTTTTGCCCTCCAGCTTGGTAATGTGTTTACAGCCAGACAGCCTGGCAATGGCAAGGAGAGTTTCTGTGCTGTGTAAGAAACCCTGGCCACCCAAGATATACCTGTATATTTCTAAAGGAGTTAATCTGTCTTTTCATCCATGGCAGAGGAGGTGCAGGCTCATCCCCGCTGTCCTGGCTGGCTGAGGCGATGCCAGGGCAGGTGCTGGGTCAGGTTTCACCTCCCCAGCCAGGCCTGTGAAGTCTTGTTGAGGTCTCCCTGCCACGGCTGGGAGACCTCAGATTGCACCATCATCATCACCTGGGAATGGGCATGAGATGGGGATGAGGCGAGCAGCATCTCCAGGAGAGACCTGCCCTCCTTTGCAGGAATGTTGGTGGGTGGATGTGCATCAGCCCACAAAGCTTCAGCCCTTCCTCAATGTGGGCACTTTGCCCTTGTGCTGGGCAAAAATTCCTCCCCAGCCTTGTGTCCTCTCTGCAGAGTCTGGACCAGGAGCTGGGACCCAGAAGTACCTCTCTGAGCTGCAAAGATGCCCTGTCTCAGGAGCCTCAGCACAGTATTCCCAGTCTTGTGTGGGCAGACCCCATGAAGACTAAAGAAAGGGCAGCAGCTACTCCTAATACTGTGGTTACTCTTGTTTTGGTGGTGTATGGGGTTTCATCATCATGTCTGGTTTCAGCCAGCAAAAAAACAGGAG